AAGTCAGAGGGTGCAAGGTCAGGAGAGTAAGGGGGATGGGGAGGATTTCATAGCCACACGCCTGTGCTTCTGATCTGGCGACATGCGAGTTGTGGCCCGGAGCGTTGTCCTGCAGGATAACTTCGCTGATCTTGCCCCGCCTCTTGATTTTGGTAGCTTCTCTTAATTTCATCAAAGGTGAAGCGTAATAGGCTCCTGTAATTGTGGTACCCTTTGCCAGGAAATCTGTCATCACTACTCCGTCCTGGTCCCAGAAGACTGTGAGCATGACCTTGCCAGCGGAGGGATGCACCCTTGTCTTCTTTGGAGGTGGTGAGTCCAAGTGCTTCCACTGCATTGACTGGGCTTTGGTCTCTGAATCTTAGTGATGAACCCAAGTTTCATCCTGTGTAATCAGTCTTTTGACAAACTTTGACTCATCTTCTTGGCACATCTCCAAATTCATCCTCAAACACTTTCACGCTTTCTTGCTTCTGGAAAGGTGTGAGCAACCTGGGAATTCATCTGGCAGACACTTTATGCATATGCAAATAGTCATGAATAATAGTTTCCACAGACCCTGTACTAATCTTGACCTCTTGGGCTATTTGGCTAACAGTAATGCATCGATCTTCCATAATGACTGTCTCAACTTGACGGACAGATGCCTCATCAATGACAGAAGAGGGACTACCAGGTCTGGGAGCTGTTTCCACAGACTTCCGGCCATGTTTGAATTCACGATGCCAACGTTTTACAAGGTCATATGATGGGGCATCATCACCATAAGTTTCTTTCATTTCATCAAGTCACTGCGCGACACTCAACTGGCTCCATCTAACACCTGACTCAGTTCAAACACCTGTAAATCGTACATGTACAACTATATACATTTGATTAATTATGACTTTTAAACATAGATTATTTGTGATCAAAGACTATATTTCATGATTTTGTTACATCTTTCAACTGTTTCAACTTAGTGCATGGAGGTTTCGTCCTTTCTTCAGTAAATATTAATAGTAGTTGTAAATTTGTGTGTCCACTTGTCATGCATTAAACATCTATGCAGTGCAGAGTAAACCCACCGGAGACTCGTTGTCTCATTCCAGTAACATATATGTGTTATTTTTTATAACATGTTTTTTCACACTTTGGAATGTTAGACAAACATAGCACTATGACCAATTTTCCCCAAGTCTCTCTATACATGGAAGGTACTAACGGAAGGAGCCACAACGTTTTAGCCCCGTGATTGCATGGTCCTCGTTAGCTCTTAACACCTTCAACAATGGGTTACGCTAGTCTCGAGCATTCAGTAATATTCGGAGCATGTTTGGAAGCGATAGCCGAACCTCGCATGTACATGTTCTATTTTGAATGCTGTTGTTTCCGGAAATTTTTGTGAACTTTAATGAAAAATTGTCAAATATAACATTGATTGAAGAAGAACTGATGAACTATCGTGAATCTTTTTGTATCAGACTTAATCAATGATTGCCTGTGACATGGAACTATTGTCATTCTGTGGGTTTGACGCCCGAAACTATTGAAATTTTCGACCACCGGGCATTGGCGAACACCACCAGAAAAGATATTATCAAAAGAAGGGCATGCCTAGACACTTTCTCTGTGATAATATTTTTTTTAGTAGCCACTCGAAATCTTGTTCTTGTTGCAGTTGCTAATAACTAAAACATGTGAAATCTGTGAAGTCAAACGTTCTTATGTTGAATTTCCGGTTGTGAAATACGTATTTTGACCCTTCACACCTAAACAAACCAAGTGCGCATGTGTGATGACCGTAGTTTCATAATGCGCATATATTTTATGATCACATTTAAAAATCGGCGGGGTTGTATCATATTCCGCTAACTCGTTACTTGTGTAAACAATTGCAAACTATCATGGACATCAAAGATGAGCTAGACAATGTCCTCATCAATATTAACTTGGGTTGAAACAAAAGAAAATATGCCTGTTAAGAAGCTTAAGTGGC